CGCTGGGTACCAGCCTCTAGCCAACCATGACACAGCCGGGCAGCGGGGGCCCCCGCCGGCTGCCCAACCATGGCACAGCCGGGCATCGCTGGGTCCCAGCCGCTGCCCAACCTTGGCACAGCCGGGCATCGCGGGGTCCCGGCCGCCGCACCGCTCCAGGCACAGCCGGGCATCGCGGGGTCCCGGCCGCCGCACCGCTCCAGGCACAGCCGGGCATCGCGGGGTCCCGGCCGCCGCACCGCTCCAGGCACAGCCGGGCATCGCGGGGTCCCGGCCGCCGCACCGCTCCAGGCACAGCCGGGCATCGCGGGGTCCCGGCCGCCGCACCGCTCCAGGCACAGCCGGGCATCGCGGGGTCCCGGCCGCCGCACCGCTCCAGGCACAGCCGGGCATCGCGGGGTCCCGGCCGCCGCACCGCTCCAGGCACAGCCGGGCATCGCGGGGTCCCGGCCGCCGCACCGCTCCAGGCACAGCCGGGCATCGCGGGGTCCCGGCCGCCGCACCGCTCCAGGCACAGCCGGGCATCGCGGGGTCCCGGCCGCCGCACCGCTCCAGGCACAGCCGGGCATCGCGGGGTCCCGGCCGCCGCACCGCTCCAGGCACAGCCGGGCATCGCGGGGTCCCGGCCGCCGCACCGCTCCAGGCACAGCCGGGCATCGCGGGGTCCCGGCCGCCGCACCGCTCCAGGCACAGCCGGGCATCGCGGGGTCCCGGCCGCCGCACCGCTCCAGGCACAGCCGGGCATCGCGGGGTCCCGGCCGCCGCACCGCTCCAGGCACAGCCGGGCATCGCGGGGTCCCGGCCGCCGCACCGCTCCAGGCACAGCCGGGCATCGCGGGGTCCCGGCCGCCGCACCGCTCCAGGCACAGCCGGGCATCGCGGGGTCCCGGCCGCCGCACCGCTCCAGGCACAGCCGGGCATCGCGGGGTCCCGGCCGCCGCACCGCTCCAGGCACAGCCGGGCATCGCGGGGTCCCGGCCGCCGCACCGCTCCAGGCACAGCCGGGCATCGCGGGGTCCCGGCCGCCGCACCGCTCCAGGCACAGCCGGGCATCGCGGGGTCCCGGCCGCCGCACCGCTCCAGGCACAGCCGGGCATCGCGGGGTCCCGGCCGCCGCACCGCTCCAGGCACAGCCGGGCATCGCGGGGTCCCGGCCGCCGCACCGCTCCAGGCACAG